CTAGAGTTATAGATGGTTGTTAGCTGCCATGTGGGTGCTGGGAACCAAATCCAGGTCCTCTGCAAGAACAGCCAGTACTCTTAACTGCTGAACCATCTCTCCAGCCCGTATGTAGCTCTTTTACAGTGGCATTCTTACCTAATTTTTCTTTGAATTTGGAAAAGATAAAATCAGCTAGCTTGTTTAGACAGCTCTTGAGAAAATGTCATGGATATAAGGATTGCTGTCAACAGGAAGCTGAGCATCTTCCTGTCACATATTAGAAACTCACACTGAAGAGTAAACTCACCCGACAAGTTGAACCTGTGAACTCAGTGTCATGTAATAAAAGCAAACGTCAGATAAGTGTACTGTATCATAAAGTTAGAACTGAACATAAGCCAACTTTAATTTGGTGACTAGAAAAAGTTAATTGGCAGTTTTTAAATTTTTCGTAGTATACAAAACATTTCATTCGATCTCCAGATATTCCTCATGTGATAATCTCTAGCTAGTGAGGTTATCTAACTGCTTCTAAGACTGGCAGGTTATTTAATTAATTAATCTTTCCAACACTACTGCTTCTTTATATGTAAAACGGGGTCATTTCCTAACCTATGCATCTAATAGCACTGCTGCCTTAGAGACAGTAATCACAGGTATCAAAACAATGTAAATAAAAGTACATTATTAGGAAGAGGTCTGAGAGAGAGAGAGAGAGATGGAAGCAAAAGCACAAACGAGATTTGGAGTGGCAGTCTAAGCTCTGTTGTCATGACTGGAGGCAGAAGCTGTTCCGTAGAAAGCAGACAGGCAGGTAAGTCACTGATTCTCTCCTTTTGCTGCCACTGTCGTCCTACCTGCACAGAGAATGTCTGTGAGAGACAAATGATGCAGTGGTTCTTAGAATCACATTGAGCAGATGGTAGCACATATACATGAACGGACCCTGAGTTCTGTCCAGGTCCAGTGCACTCAGACAGACACTGTGGTAGACTCTGAAGTGCAGTGATGACCAAGATTTAGTTCTGTGTTTTACAGGGTCCAACTACGGAAGTGTGAAATTTTGGGTAAGAACTAAGATCCCTAAGAAGCCATTCTGTCTGTCCTTTACTCAGCTCTTCTTCCTATCCCTACGTTCCCGTCGGTTCATAGGTAGTGATCTTTGGCCTCCTCGTCTCCCTTTCTCCTGTACACTCCACACTGTTCATTCCTCCAGACTGGATCACTGTTCTGAGCCCAGGGCCTTTGAAGACTCTGTTGGTACCCTGCAGGCATCTCAGGCTCGGTGTGTCTCCATGTTTGTTCTTTTCCTTCTCCTTTTCCTTTTGTTTTCTACAGCCAGGTGCTGGAGGCAGGCCTCAACTTTCTCTTATCCTCTCTTCTAACTGTACGACAGTTCGTGTCCGCTCTGCCTCATGGACTGCCCTGGTGTCTGTGGTGTCACACACTGCTGTTCTGCAGGCCACGGTCAGTTCTGCGCAGGTTTCTTAGCAGCCCGGCTGGCTTCTCTGCCTTCAGCCCCCTCCTTTTCTCTCATTTCCACTCCACTGGCAGATGTATCTTCCTTAAATGATTACATTGGTTTTGGACTTAAAGCCTCTAAACCAAATATATTTAAGACAAAATATTTTCTTTTGACTCTTCATCACAACAGAAGAATCTGGTCCCTTGCGCTCCTTTCAGCCTCATCCCATACTGTGCTCGCTTGTTCCATCTGTTCTGTGTTCCGTACGGCTGCATGGAACTGCTGCTTCTCCCCCAGTGCTGCGTGCTCGTTCCTCTCTTCCAGGCCTGCAGCTTTGCCCTTTCAAGGCCTAGGTAGCTTACCTCCTGGTGGTGTAGGTTTTGTCGTATTGCTTTTGATGCTTTAAAAAGTACATGTCTGTGTCCAGCACTGCTCAGCAGTGTGGCCTCTGCTTCCCAGGGCTTCGTCTCTGTTGCACTATGAGTTCTTCAGAGATAGACCAATTCTGTTGTCTCCAGCACCTAAAATCGTTTATATATTTTCTGAGTCCCCAACCTGTGATCTCTACCATGTGATACAGATAAAGGAATGCTGGTGTTTTGAAGCATACATGATACATCACATGTAGCAAAGCCATAGAGAATGGAAATGACCTCTCAGGCTGGACAAACACTGAAGTAGAGTATTTCTTGATTCCTTGACTTCTGTCAAAGGCACACATGACATAGGCTCTCCAGGAAGTGAGAAGGCCAGGAGTGGAGGATGGGTGAATGAGGAAAAGAAAATGAGCTTTAAAGGAGAGCAGTGCAAGCCTGCAAGATGGCTCTGCGGGTAATGAATGACCCTTGCCACCAAGCCTGACGACTCAGTTCCGTCCCTGGGGCCCAACATGGTAGAAGGAAAGAACTGATTCCCACAAGTTGTCCTCCGCCCTCCACAGGAGTGCTGTGGTACATGCGCATGTGCATACGCACACATACTAAATAAGTAACTAAACAAATAAATGTAATTTAAGCACTTTTAGAACAATATAAGAGGAATTCACCTTGACAAACCAAAAGACCAGATCTGTGGAGAGTAAAGTGAAGACTAGACTGCACATAGTGGCCAGGGCAAAGCACCGAGCAGACCCCAAGGAGCAAGCAGAGTGTATGGAGTGAATTAGAAGAGACTGGAGAGAAGTGCTTTAAGTTCAGTGTGACCTGGGAAGCCTAACGGGAGTCATGAGTGTGGGACATTGGCCAGGTTCAGATTCTAAGAATCCCTGGGCAAAAAGATCACATGAGGGAAAATAGAGAGTTGTTATAAGTTCCAGTAGATGGTCATGATTTTTTAAACCGGGGAGGTCACGGGAGCTGAAGTTCTAGTGTTGACGTGTACCACAAGGCTGATGAGAGGATGCTGGGTACCTGCTTTCCAAGCCTCTCTTGCTCTTCTGTGGACCACCGGTCGCCCCAGACTCTGCCCGTCCAGCTTTGCCTCAGCCCCTCTGCCTTTTTGCTTCTTTTCCCTTCTATGGTTTTTGTTCCCTAAGGAATGTCTCTTGCTTCCTCTATGGCATTGACCTAGTGTCTGCTTTTATACTAGTCTTGGGTAATCCTTATAAGGCAAAGAAGCAAAGGAGAATTAGAACATAATCCCAGAAACCTTGTGGTTCTTCTGTTGGGCCAAACCCTCTGACAGCACCAACCCAAAGAACGACTATTCAGCCTGGTGGATCTGAACGTGAAGGCGGGAGGGAAGAAGCAGGCTTTAGCCCCACGGCTCCCCTGCAAGCCTCCTGCCAGCAGAGTGCTTTGAATGTTCAGCTGCCTACATAGAGCCCTTGTTTGTGTTCGCTCCTGTAATTTAACTTGGTGATTCTCGAATTTTAGTGAGTATAGTCATTATTTGCCAGACCAGTATGGAATAACCTAGTATGCACTTTATGAATGACATCGGGGGATTTTGAAGGACAGTTTGGAGTCTAGTACATTTTTACCTTAGGACTGACCCACATGAACTAAATACATCGAGATTCCTCGGGGCTTCAAAAAGAA